CAATACTTTCCCCGACCTGGTGTTGCTGCGAGTTTTCCGCAACACTCTCCCGACCTAGTATTGCTGCGAGTTTTCCGCAATACTTTCCCCGACCTGGTGTTGCTGCGAGTTTTCCGCAACATCTTCCCGACCTGGTGCTATCGCGAGTTTTCCGTAGCACTTCATCCAGACCAATTATTCCCTTATGAATAATTATTTCAATTCCGTCCGAAGTACGAGTCCCACAAGATTGCACTAGGCCAGACATTTACCGATTATATATTTAAATAAAGATTTTTTTTACCTTCCTCCGTAAACTCCTCTGTTGATTTTTTTTATTATTAATAAATTTTGATTTTATTTCTTAATTTATGAACCGCATCTTTTTATTTTTTTTAACCCTCTCTCAAACACCCTGAATCTCCGACTGTAACCCCCAACAGCTACTTGGAGGCGAAAGAGTTCCTTAACGCTCTAAACATAAGGTGGCGCCCGAGACCGATAACATCCCGAACATAAAAAAAGAGGCACCAAGACCCCTTTCTTAGGACCGAACCAGGAAAGGACGTCGCACTGCGATGAGATCAGAAGACAATAATGTAAGAGCCTCCGAACGGTTCGAATTCCACTTATGCGCGTTAACCGCCCGCCGTTAACACTTGGTTTAGTTGGAAGATTACCTCCTGCGCCTCATCAATATCATTCCCTCCAGAAAGAATGTCGTCAACATACGTGTCTCTGAAAAGTATCGCCGTGCCGAGAGGTTGACTTGAATGATGTTCGTTCGCGAGTTGACGAAGGCAACGAATTGCTAAATAAGGCGCGCATTAAAGACCGTATGTAACCGTGGTGAGTTCGTAGCTCTTAAGCTTTTGCGAAGAGAGTTCCCGCCACACGATCCGCTGGAATGGTAAATCACCCTCATGCACCTTGATCTGGCGGTACATTTTCTCAAGATCGCACGAAAAAGCTACCGCGTGGCGCCTCCACCTTATTAAAACGTCTATTAATTCGTTTTGGAGTTTTGGTCCCGTATGAAAATTAAAAATCGTACAAGATCCCAAAATATCTTATTTTTACGACTGTCGAAAAGGAACTCTAGAGTTCAACAACAACCTGATGACGGAATAAATTTCATTCTTCGGATTTTTAATTAATTTTTTATATTTAACCGAATAAGAAGTTCCGAGCTCATTAGGCGACTTCCGAAAAGGTAACCGTACCAAAAATCGACCGTTCGAATGTCGCGAATGAGTTTGTGTGAAGTGCTCTTCACACGCGCGTTCGTCAGATGAAAGACGCGGAATATTGACGGTATCATCTTCTTGCTTCCAGAAGCGCTGCATCACGTCGAGGAATTCCCGGTCGATGGAACATTGAAAACCATAAGAGCTCGAATGATTAGAAGGTTGTTCAGATAACGCGCCGGAAAGAACCCAACCGAGGGCAGTTTGCTGCGCAATTAAAAGACCGTCTTTGCTCTTTAATACACCGTTTTGAATTATTTTTGAATAAAACTGAACTCCCAGTATTAAGTCGATTTTTCTTTCTGAGGTAAACTCTGGATCCGCTAAAGGCAGGTCACTCATTTCAATCGGTAAGTGTTTAAAACGCTTTTGAGGCAAATAAGAGGTTAATTGTGGTAAAATTAAAGTTTCCTCTTCGAAGGAAATGATCGGATTCAGTCGCGAAACCAACCGTACCGATACCACGCCGTTGGTAACGCAGGTACGCTTCGACCCGATCCCGGTTATAGGAACGTTCGCTGAACGCCGTTGAAGATGAAGCTGTTGAACTAATGTTTCGCCGACGAAAGACACCTCCGAACCTTGGTCAATCAACGCGCGAACTATTAACGAATCTCCGCGGGGCGAGATGATCCGCACTAAAGCCGTGGCAAGGAGCACCGAAGTTTGAAGGTGATGAGAATGCACGACATGGCTTGATGAAGGAAGTTGTTTCGCTGGAGAGTTCGATTGTGGATTGGTGTTTTTATTATTAAATATACGTGCCTCGGGAGGAGCTTCGTGAAGGGTGGAATGATGGGGCTTGTTACAGAACCGACACCGTTTAGAAACTCGACATTTTTTAAACAAGTGTGGCCCCAAACAATTAAAACAGAGACCCCGTGAGATTATTAAATCTGTTCTTTGAGACGCATTCCGTGTTAAATACTCTGGGCAACTGGCAATGTAATGAGCAGCTCCGCAAGCCGAACATCCCGAAGTTGGAACTGACGCGTTGTGAGATTTGAAATTAAAATTTTTATTAAACGATTGCGTAACTCTTTTATTATTTCCAGGCAGCTTTTCGATCGCTTCAAGGGTGTAGATCCTACGAACAAGAAATTCCTCAAACTCCTCGAATGTTGAAGGGTCACGATAACTGCTAATGGACTTTTCCCAATCTTTAGCCGTTTCTGAATCGAGCTTGCGAACAATCAAATAAACCAAAATATTATCCCAATACTTTATCGGACATCCCAACGACTCCAATGCCCCCAATGCTTCTTTAACTTCCCCGAGAAGTTTCTTCAATTCAGAAGCTGATTCAGTTTTAAGAGAGCGCGCCGACAACAATAGCGTTAATTGTGTGTCTACCATAACGCGACGATTTTCATAACGTTCTATCAATAACGTCCACGCCCGTTGAAAATTGTCGTTGGTAACTAATAAGTTCTTAAGTAATTGCGCGGGTTCATTAATAAGGCACATTTTTAGGTAATGAAATTTCTCAACGTTGGAAATATCATCGTTGGAATGTACCATTGAGAAAAACAAATCACGGAACTGTGGTCAGTTACTGTAACTACCGTCGAAAACCGGAAGCTTAATTTGAGGCAGTTGTCTCGAACGCGAATACGAAGGTGCAGCTGCTGGTTGAATTGGTTGTGAACTCGAACAGTTCTCAACCGAAGGTGCCACCGATTGCCTGCTTCGAACCGAAGATGCTACAGAGGATCCCCTTAAGGACCGTAAAGATTCCAGAAGAAAAGTCTTTGCGTCCAAATACGTTTCCTCACAAACCGCGAATTGATCGTCCGAAAAGTATATAGTATCGGCATATTCGACTTTATAAGGGATTAATTTCTTATGAATACTAAAAAATTCATTCCAACTGACTTCTAGTCGATCAAGTCGACTTTTAAGATTACTGGCTGTCCAGTTACCTCTCCCCATCTTTTTTGTATTGTCTATAACGCGAGAAATTGTACCGAAAAAGTCGTTTTGTTGCTCGAAAAGCGCGTTTATGTCTCTCTTTTTTTCTTCAGTAGACATCTTGAATGCGAAGAAATAAAGTCTCGTTAGAAAATATCCGAACTAGAATAATTAACTCCGTACCGAAAGAAATTACTTATAAATAATCTATAATATTAATCAGAATCGCCGCTAATTCGAAAAAGATGTCCGCAAGTTAAACCGTACGCACATCCGCGAGTTGATCCGGCTCGAAGGACCAAAAATGTTCGAAAAAAGTTCAAGAAAATTTATTTAAAAAAAAATAGATTATTTAACGTTAACTCGAAAAAGTTTATAGTGAACGTCCGAAAATTAAAGGTAAGTTCCGGGATATTATAATCTTACTCTTTTAATCAACTTTTAGATTTACACAAAGAATAACTCGTTTCACAGGGAAGAACTGATACACTTGAAGGCTGGACACAAAAGAGGATTTATTGAAAGACATAAACGTACATTACACGTTTTGAAATTTCTGCGCACGCACCACTCCGATTCCAATTCCATACGTTATTGTTGCAGATGACGCATTTGCTCTTAAGTATATTATGAAGCCATTCCCTTTCAAAAGCCAGCCAGTGCAAAATCGTGTTTTCAATTATCGGCTTTCTAAGGCCAGAAATGTGGTTGAAAATTTTTTTGGACAAATTGCAGCTCGTTTTCGAATTTTACGTAAGCCCATTCTTTTAAGTCCACAAAAAACAAGAAAAATTGTTAAGGTCGTATTAAACTTTGTTCGTGCGTGAAATGACCTTGAAAAATACCATTTGGCTTGTTTCACAATATTTTAGTTCATAGATGACGCGCCAAGCGCTGTTTGAGGAATAAAATAAATTCACGACTCGGCTTCGGTTAGAACTGGTTAGAACCCGGGATTCCCCTTTTGTCTCTATGTGCGGTGTGAGTCTCATTTGTTCATTTCGCTTTTCTACCTTCCGTGCGTTGGTTGATCTCGTCGGGTGTTTGTTGTTCGTGTTTTTCAGCAATTTATTTTCTTTCCATTACGACCAGTCTTTTTAAAGACTTTTTAAGAATTTGTTTCATTTTACGCAAGGTAACTAGATTTTATACTGTTTTATAAACTGTAATTATTTAAAAAATAAAATAATTTGTTTAGAAATATGTTGTTTAGTTTGCTTATTTATTTTGTTTATTATTTTGTGTAGATTGTTTTTAAAATTTTTTTTTTTGATATTTAGTATCAACTTTTAGTTTTATATCCATGAAAATGTTTTAGCGTAAATTTTAGAAGTTTGTGTTGTGTATGAAACCTGTAAGTATTTTGTAGTACTAGTAGCTATTAAGTTTTACTCATCAACGTCGTCAATATAAGAATACAATTACAATGAAAAAATGTTAATGGTAAACTTTCTTGTTCGCTACTGTACCTGTTGTTCAATGCTCAATCATTTGCTAATTGTAAAATTGAATTGCAAGATATGGGTAACCGTAAGCAGACCAACAAAGGTTACATTTCGCAAACGCGCAAACGTAATCGAGCAGCTACTGCTCGGAAAAAGTTCCATCTGGAGAAGTCTACATCGTTAGTTTATACCATATCTAAAACTGTTTTTGGTCTTTAGTTTATTCTGTTGTAGTGGAAGTAACATGTATTTGTTCGAGGATTTACCTAATCCTGGATGTTTACCCGCTACCGCAACTGAATGCGTTGATAAATATGAAGAAAACAGGACTATGTTGGACCCAGTTGATAGAAGGTATGAAACACATCTTATCGTTAGTAATAGGCAAAAATTCTTACCTTACTTTTTTTAACCTATCTAGTGAAGACGAACGAGTGAATGTGAAGACGTACGAGCGCAAGAAAAGGATAACCGAACATATTGTCGAAGATGCAGAATATCAGAGGTAAATAATATCATCTGAAGTATACAGGGGGCCATTGAAAAAACTACTATGCGTACTGCGATTGATACAAGACCATAAAATAAAAAAAAAAGTATTATACACTAAGATCCGATAACTTTTTGTTTTCAATTGAAAACATAAAAAAATTGATTGATACACTGAATTATTTCATCTAATAAAAAGTTGTCCGTGTGTCAACCTAATTTTCTTACTGTTTCAATAGAAAACAAAAAGCGATCGGACTTTTCTGTCAAATAATTGTTCTCTTATTTTAATAAGGTCCTCTATTGCGTGGCACCATGCATTGTGGATTTTTCAATAGCATTATGCTAATAAATTTTTTTGAGGACGCATTATTACCGAAATATTCGTTATAGAATGGGGCATATGAAAACAGATTTTTCAGTTATAACTCTTTTATTAGTATGAAATTTTCAAAAGTAGTGTAGTAAGTTAAGATCAGTAAAATTGTGAAAAATTATTTTTAAAAATATTTTGGGAAGGGTTTCGCATCGCCAGACATACTGTATACTTATTAATTTTTCTCTTATCTTATGTTAGTATTCAGAATGTGACCTCCGAAAAAGAAGACTCGATGAACATTAATAAAATACATGGGAATAGAATTGTAAATATCGACTACTTTGTCGACAAATTGTTAAGTTTCCAATACGAACATGCAAAAAAATGTACGTTTGGAAGACTTACCATGGTAAAAGAGTATCGAAGGGGACTAATGGACAAAGTGTTATTAGTTTGTGAGTTTTGCAACACCAAGTTTGTTTGTAGTACACAAAATCCCCAATCGATGTCATTGAATATGGCTGCTGTATGGGGTACCGTTGTCAATGGGAGCACCTATACACAGACAAATGATTTATTGTCCACACTAGATGTTCCCATAATGAGCTTTCCGACATTTTCTAAAATCGAGCGGCAGTTGGAAACTACTTGGAAAGACCAACTATGGTTATCTATGGAGACGGCAGGAAAGGAGGAACGTCGCCTAGCAGAGGATTCGGGTGACATTGACAAAGATGGCACACCCTGGGTACAAGTGTATGTTGATGGCGGCTGGAGTAAGCGCTCGTATGGCCATAACTATAATGCTGCATCTGGGGTGGTATGTCTCAACAAGAGGATGTAAATAACCAACATTAGTTTATATTATTTGCAGGCAGTTATTATTGGAAAGCGAACGGGGAAAGTAATATTTGTTGGTGTACGCAACAAATTTTGCACCGTTTGTTGCCGTGCGGAAAATAAAAACGTAGTTGTTCCAAAGCACGTATGTTTTAAAAACTGGACAGGGTCGTCGTCGTCAATGGAAGCCGACATAGTTGTAGAAGGTTTTAATCAAAGTATTGCTATGCACGGGGTTAAATACCTTAAATTTGTTGCTGATGGAGACTCAAGTGTTTTCTATCGCATTCAACAAACGGTGTCTTACGGAGGGCAGGTGGAAAAATTAGAATGCGTTAATCATGCTATAAAGAATTACGGCAAATCTTTGTACAAGATCAAGGCAGATACATCGATAAACATCCAAGGCCGAAAATACCTAACAAAGCCAATAATAACGGAATTGCAAAAGGGTGCGCACAAAGCCATAAAGAAATATTCGGGCGACGTAAATAAAATGAAAGCGGAGATCAGCAACTCAATTATGCATGTTTTCGAACATCATGAAAAGTGTTGTAATGATTATTGCGATAAAAAAGGGGTTGTTGAGCTAAGTCCAATTTCGCACCTGAAGCGCACTGGTTTGTTGTACCACATAAACGGTATGTGCAATATAATTACAAACTTTTAATTTATTACAACTGTATATTATGTGTACTTGAAAACAGGAGCACTTGAAAACTTATTGGTAAAAGCGCATCGACTAGTGGCGAAAGAAACAAACAATAGAGCCGAGTTATATATGTCATTGTTGGCAAAACTGAATTGTGGAAAACGTTTGAATTTGACGCAACGAAATTCTTTCCAAAACAGAGCATATATAACCGGCTTGCGTTACAATGAAGGTAAGTATGCAGCAAAGATCTTTAGGTACTCTATAAATATAATTATGATGGACAGGTGNACATCTTATCGTTAGTAATAGGCAAAAATTCTTACCTTACTTTTTTTAACCTATCTAGTGAAGACGAACGAGTGAATGTGAAGACGTACGAGCGCAAGAAAAGGATAACCGAACATATTGTCGAAGATGCAGAATATCAGAGGTAAATAATATCATCTTATACAGACTGTCCTGAAGTATACAGGGCCATTGAAAAAACAACTATGCGTACTGCGACTGATACAAGACCATAAAATAAAAAAAAAAAGTATTATACACTAAGATCCGATAACTTTTTGTTTTCAATTGAAAAAATAAAAAAATTGATTGATACACTGAATTATTACATCTAATAAAAAGTTGTCGGTGTGTCAACCTAATTTTCTTACTGTTTCAATAGAAAACAAAAAGCGATCGGACTTTTCTGTCAAATAATTGTTCTCTTATTTTAATAAGGTCCTCTATTGCGTGGCACCATGCATTGTGGATTTTTCAATAGCATTATGCTAATAAATTTTTTTGAGGACGCATTATTACCGAAATATTCGTTATAGAATGGGGCATATGAAAACAGATTTTTCAGTTATAACTCTTTTATTAGTATGAAATTTTCAAAAGTAGTGTAGTAAGTTAAGATCAATAAAATTGTGAAAAATTATTTTTAAAAATATTTTGGGAAGGGTTTCGCATCGCCAGACATACTGTATACTTATTAATTTTTCTCTTATCTTATGTTAGTATTCAGAATGTGACCTCCGAAAAAGAAGACTCGATGAACATTAATAAAATACATGGGAATAGAATTGTAAATATCGACTACTTTGTCGACAAATTGTTAAGTTTCCAATACGAACACGCAAAAAAATGTACGTTTGGAAGACTTACCATGGTAAAAGAGTATCGAAGGGGACTAATGGACAAAGTGTTATTAGTTTGTGAGTTTTGCAACACCAAGTTTGTTTGTAGTACACAAAATCCCCAATCGATGTCATTGAATATGGCTGCTGTATGGGGTACCGTTGTCAATGGGAGCACCTATACACAGACAAATGATTTATTGTCTTTGTACAAGATCAATTCAGATACATCGATAAACATCCAAGGCCGAAAATACCTAACAAAGCCAATAATAACGGAATTGCAAAAGGGTGCGTACAAAGCCATAAAGAAATATTCGGGCGACGTAAATAAAATGAAAGCGGAGATCAGCAATTCAATTATGCATGTTTTCGAACATCATGAAAAGTGTTGTGATGATTATTGCGATAAAAAAGGGGTTGAGCTAAGTCCAATTCCGCACCTGAAGCGCACTGGTTTGTTGTACCACATAAACGGTATGTGCAATATAATTACAAACTTTTAATTTATTACAACTGTATATTATGTGTACTTAAAAACAGGAGCACTTGAAAACTTATTGGTAAAAGCGCATCGACTAGTGGCGAAAGAAACAAACAATAGAGCCGAGTTATATATGTCATTGTTGGCAAAACTGAATTGTGGAAAACGTTTGAATTTGACGCAACGAAATTCTTTCCAAAACAGAGCATATATAACCGGCTTGCGTTACAATGAAGGTAAGTATGCAGCAAAGATCTTTAGGTACTCTATAAATATAATTATGATGGACAGGTGTATCATGGCAACAACGGGGATTACAAGCATCTGGATATGTGTCAATTGGCAATTATTTCATGAGACATATGCATAAAATGCAACTAAAACGGGAGACTCGACATGTAGCTTCTCCACGGAAGCGAAAGCATCGTGAAATAGTTGCATCAAAAAACTCTGATTATGGAGTATCTGCTATTCAGGGCACATTATCCACTGCAGAAATAGAATCTGAATCGAAAAGAATTTTACTTTCATTACAGGTTTTTTGATCCACTATAACCTCACCCTTAGGGCTGGTTTCTAGAACGAAAGTTAAAGCTAACGAATCGCTATCTCTAGTGTTGTCCTTGTTTTTCACAAATGGTAAACAAGAACAGCACACAGATACATCCAAAATATCGGAACGACTACTTTCTAGAAATCGAGCATAAAAGTATCTTCACAATCTCTACAATTTGTATGTAACTAACTATGTATACTAGATAGGAACTAACAACGTAGTATATGTTGTGTTTGTCTACATATAGTATAATATTAATCGTGTAAGTAATGTTTGATATATCTGTTTAGTATAAATTCTGATGGGTACGTAAATATCACCAATATATCTAATATAGAATAATGGATTATACATGAAATTTATATATTATAGGTAACAAAAGATCAACGTGACCAAATAGCGAACACCACTACGGAGCAATATAATTCACAAATGTACGTAAACGAAAAAAGTAAACGGTTAACAGCATCAAATTTTGGTCTTGTTGTGAAGAGACGAGATACAACCAGTCCACGATGTTTGTTAAATCGTTTACTTTCTTGCCGTAAATTTAGAAGCCCAGCAATGTCATACGGTACTGAAAAAGAATCGGTGGCACGTAGTCGTTTTGAAAGGGAATACGATTTAGTTGTTTCTCCTGCTGGTTTGTTTATCGATTTGAAATATGGATTTCTTGGAGCTTCTCCTGATGGTCAATTACACAGACCTCCAGTAACTGTTTAATGTAACTTATACTGATGTTATTATTATAGGTCTCGTAGGAAGTGAATGCATCATAGAAATTAAATGTCTGTATGGTGTACATAAGGCAGGGCAATCTTTAGAAGAAGCCGTGATAAACAAAAAAGATATGTGCCTTGAAATTGTGGATAATGGTATGCGGTTGAAAAGAAACCACAATTATTTTTATCAGGTAATGATGTGTAAAATTATAACCTCAGCTGATCTGAGGGTCTCTTTTAGATACAAGGGCAATTAAATATATGTGGAAAGAAACGATGCTATTTGATTATATATATTAACGATAAAGAACCACTCTTTGTGGAAATTATTGAACGCGATGAAAACATATGGGAAAGTAACATATTGCCAAAACTGATTTCTTTTTATAAATCACACATGCTTCCCGAGATAATCAACCGCACCGTATCAAACGTCCGTACATAGCTTGCAAAAAGAAGAGAGAAATGTCAACTTTTTTTGTTAGGTATTCTAATGTAGTATTCCACAGTGATATAGAAACTATAAGTGAAGGTGAGGACGGTTATTGAAAATCCTTTAAAATGAGTCCAAACTCGATAGGTTTCTCTTTAAAAATAAGTAAAATAAATTGAGAAAAATAACTAAACTTACTTTTTTATAATTTGTTGAGAGAATAACTAACTTTTGATTATATTTTATTATTATTAATTACGCATTTTTTACATTTCTGCTAATTAAAGTATATATGTTGTGATTTTTCTCATAGGAGATTTTCTTACAAGTGGTCTGCTTGGACTTTGCTTATTTTCATTATGATTTGAGCACTGATTTATTTTATAATAATATTATTTTAAAGTATAAATTCGTAGAAATTTCAACCAAGTTTGTTAATTTTTATCTGTTAAAACAATAAAAAATCCTCGCATTGGTGACATTTAGGCCAAAGTCTTATATGTATATTTTGGCTACATAGTAAAATTATTACTTCAATAGCAATCTAACGGCCCAAAAGTAAAAAATTGGTCAGGTCCTATTTCGGTACTTATAATGACATTGTTTAACGCACCCTTAATACGACACTGGGCCTTTAGACACAATTAGACTGTCGTATAAATGTGACGGTGGGTCAAGAAGCATGCAAAAAAAGAAATAAGTGTCATATTTATCAGGCGGAGGGTTTAGAGACATTTCATCGGTGAACGTATATATACGGCAGTGGGACTGAGAGACAAGTTATGCTTTGCCGTATATATACGTCACTGGTAAAGAAAGGATTAAGTTTGTATTCGATAATTCCAGAGGGGTTATATTTAAGGCAACAAATATCTGTAACCACAGGTCGCCTTTTTTAAAACCGGGACGTATAGATGAAAAAAAAGTTAGGACAGACATTTTTTTAAAAAAATCAAAAGAAAGGTAAGTTACTTCATAGNGCCCAAAAGTAAAAAATTGGTCAGGTCCTATTTCGGTACTTATAATGACATTGTTTAACGCACCCTTAATAATAAAATTTTAATAAAACCAATACGTTTATTAAGAATATTTATTAATATTAAACCTTTATACATTACAAATAAGTGTATTTACAGGCGAAACAGATCACAATAAAAAAAACAACCAATCAAAACCAAATAAGAAAATATTAAATTAATTTTACATTTAAATATTTTTCGTATTACGTTCCACGACGTCTAAACGTTTTAATAGATAATATTGGTGGTGTTTTTGTGCACTGACGACGTAACGGCTTCCTCTAAATTACTATCTAACTTATGGTAATTAGCGGAATTTGGTCTACCGCTTCTTCGAGAATTTCTTCTTCCTCTACGGCCTTCAATAACCAAGGCTAACACCTATTAAAAAAGAAATAAATAAATTCGATTCTTATAAACTATTTTTTCTAATCGAATAATTTAATTTAATATTAAAGCGGTACTTACTTTTTGTTTATTATGGTAACCAATATATCCTAAAATAAAAACTGCACAAACCATCATGAAATAAACAAAAAAGAATGAATCCTCTTCTTCGATTTGATCTGAATTAACTGGCATATTAACATCTTCATTGACCTCTTTCGGTTTTGGTTTGGAAGATTTTTTTTCTGGTTTTTTTAAATCCTCTGAATTTGCAGGTTGAATATCGTCATCATCGAGTTGATCGTCGTCGTTCATCATCTCAATTCTATCTTGGTCTTCAGGTTTTTCTTCGAAATTAGTTTCAAGGTCGTCATTTTCTTGCTGAAGGTTGGCTTTTTGCTGATCCTTTTTAGCAACATTTTCATTCGGTATATCAACTGCATCATTCTTTTCTTGATCTTGTTTTGGTTTTATAACAACGTTGTCTTTAGGCTTTTTTAATTCTTTAACCGGATCGGGAGATATTTCAACGTTCGATTCTTCTTTAGGTTTCTTTTGATCTTCTTTCGATGCAGCTAAATCAGCATTCGGAGCAACATTTGAAGCCACAACAGTTTCTTCAGGATTAGTTTGAACCTTATTTGGTTTTGGGGCATCATTGAGTTGTGGCTTTTTTTGGGATTGATTTCCAGTTGGTTTTTGTTCATTTTGGGTTTTCTGATTGTTTTCAGACTGAGTGACATCACTTTTTACATCACCCGCATCTTTACCAACATTTTCACTTTTACCTTGCACTGCATCTTTATTATTATCTTTTACCTCGGGTGTTAATTTAGCAGTTTCATTTTTACTTTTAATTTTTGCAGCATTTTGTTCAACCTTTTCTACATTCATCGTATTTTGTTTGATAACGTTACTCATCAATCCGGAAAGAGCACAAATTTTTGAAACTTCACCACTTAAAAAATCCATACAAATTCCATGACAATTAATCGCCATATATGTATTTATACGATCAAAAACATCTTTATAAGAACTACGAAATGGTTCAACTGCTTTCAAATTATTACAAGCAATATTAATATCATAACTGGCTTGGATAGTACTTTCGTTTATTAAAGATTTTACAGCAATCGAAGAATTAACGCACAATTTCAAGAAATTATTATAAAAAATTGTGCACATTATTTCATTATTACTTTTTGGTTTCATATTCGCAGGGCATTCCTTTAAAAATGGATACTGTGCGCCATCAAGAAATGTTGATCGTAAAAAAGGGCACTTATACTCAGCGTACTGGTCACTATTGTTTAGGATATCTAATAAAGTACTGTTGGTGCTTGCCGGCGCCGTTGCTGCGTAAGCAACAAGATTAAGTAAAAAAGCAGAGATTATTGTTAACTTATGCATAGTTGGTTCTGTGTGAATCACTAAAATCGAAACGCAAATAAAAATTGATTTTTTTAATCCCCATTAAACGCATTGAAACGAAAGAATTTATTTACCGTTTAGGATGGCTTTTTTAAATCACTACTTAAGTTATAATCATTATTTTCACCTCCAATTTATAGAGAAATATGCAAAAATCTACGTGTTTTGCGGTATTTCACTGTCACTTTTGACACATGTCAAAGACAAGTACCAACATAAATTTTAAAAACGAAAAACCCCATATCTCTATAGTTTTCTATTTTACCCAATTACCGAAAAAATTTTATTTAAATAAAATTTATGAAATAATTGATATTTTAATTTATAATTTAATATATTATTTATCGTTATTGCTTTCAACATTATCAATTAACCTTACTAATATTTTCCTGTTTTACCAACTTAATAAAAATAAAGAAACATTGACTCATTTCTTACTCATTCGTTTCAGTTTATTTATTTACAATTAGATAACGTTTTTAAAACCCAAAAAATGATAAATTATCTTCAAATAATAATCTCGATTTTAATCATATCGGTTTTAATTAACGGTAAGTTCTGAAAAACATTTTTTTTTAAACATAACCTCAAATTCATGTTTTGGGTGTGTCTCTTTAAATTAATTCAGTTTCTGGCGGAGTCCGCGTTTGGTGTTACCAATGTGTTAGTACAGAATCCGGTTGTGGGAGAGAATTTAATTGGTGGTGGCATTGGACTAAAATTTGCCCCGAAGATGACGATGTTTGTGTTAAAATTGAAGAACGGAAAGATAGTATGAGTATAAGCTTTCTAATATGTACATAAAAATAATAAAATAATTTTAGCTGATGAAATTATAACGAGGGCTTGTTTGAGTACAATTAGAGGTTATCGAACCGATATTCCGGCTGATCATTACGAAGGATGTCGTCCGGCTGCTAAAGATGTCCGTTTGGGACATTACGTAAACAATTCAATTAAAGAATTGGACGTTCATCGAAACTATTTTGAATCTGTACAGTATTGTTTTTGCTTTTTAGATCATCGGTGTAATGGAAGCTTTAATTTAGTGCCCAATTTAATGATATTAATAGGCTTAATAAGTTGGAATTTATTATTGTAGGTAATTCACCAAGGTCTGTTGAGTATTGGTTATTTATAAGGTTATACAACACGAACAAATTGACGTTGGCGGGGCGAGGAGGGAAATGTGACGTCATTGGAGGAAAAATATAATATAGTGTAATATTATTGTTAGGCCATAAATAATTTGTACCATCATTAATAGTCAATTTAACTTAATATTTAACGAAGGCGTTTTAACTCTCTCAACACTACTGTCTTAAAGTATTTCCTTAAAGAAAATTCGATAAAAATAATGTATAGTGCCGCCATCTATTTTCTAAACAAACAATTATTACTACAATTATAACATTTTTATCCTAACTTTAGATATAAATATAATAATAATATCTATCAAGTTAAACACTAAACAAGTGTTATTAAACTCAAGAAATAGAGAGTTTATGTTGGTTTACGTATATAAATAAAAATATAGAAATGTCAATTCCTCCAATGACGTCACAGCAAGGTCTCTGCGGGGGGATACATCCATAGGGAGTTGGACAACCTTATACATTGACCGGCAAAAAAAGGCCACTAAAATTTAGCCTAAATTTCAAAGCTGGCTTTCTCGCGAATCACTCATTCGATTTTGATCGAAAGGGTGATTCTTCTGTAATAATCCTGCGATAGAAATTTTTATTGGGATATTAATTTGAGCATATAAGGGGTGCAAGAAATTTGTAATACCCTGTGGGGTGCAGCTGCTACAGCAGAGGTTTTTTTTTGATTTATTGTTCATTCCCAAAAAGACATAAGAGTCCATAACAGGTATATAAACACTAAAATATAACGACAACGCAAGAAGAAGTTACATACATACATATACAACACAAAAAAACATTTCAAAATCAGTTTAACCTAAGATTAAGGTAATAAGTCCTTGCTTCTCCCGCAAAGGAGTCCAGACCATTCTGATTCTTCACCCTTTATGGTAAATCATTAAACCACTCCGCTACTGCTGCTGTAACACTTCTTCTCCCAATGTTTCTTGCAAGGGGCAAGATGTGAATATTTTAGTTAATTCTTATATTATACGCATGCATATCGCAGTTGAGGATAAAGTGAATGCCAGTTTCCATTAGATTATTTTTGATTTTATATATTAGCTTCACACTATCAAGCTTAATCATCTCATGTACATTAAGCACTTTTAACTCATTATACAATGATGTAGTATTTGTGCTATGTGGTTTACAAAAGAGAATCTTTAAAAACTTATCTTGTTAATGTCTTTTTTTACGAGCGTGACCCCAAAAACCGCAAATATAATTTAAGTAAGAGTGAGCATAGGCATAATAAATAGAAAATCTCGTTTCATTGTTGAAATATTGACCATTACTTTTTAGGTGATAGCTTTCTTATTGCTGCTATACTCTGTTTTTAAACCAGGAGTAAATACGAAAGTCAGATTTACACTAGGAAAAATCACCTGAAAATATCACTAAATATTTTGGCGGTAAATTTAAATTAATAATTATTATTATTTATTTATTTACTTATTATTGTATTTATTTTCGTTTGTTATCGTCAACACTAAACATACAAACTAACATTGAAGTTAGGAGTGTATTTATTTTAAAATATAATAAAGAAGGGTTTAAAACACAAAATTTACAATAATGATACGAAACGGTCGAACGATCAATAACCTAACCTTCAAATTTAAAATCAAAATTCAAAATTGCATGTGTGTGAACCTTCCTCGCATTCAACCAATCACGTGCAAGGTCAATCTGGTGACAAATTTAAAATACTCCTCCTGGTTTAAAAACAGAGTATAGTAGCATTATTGTAAACAGTGTACCTACTGCTTTCTATTTTTTAAATAATTTTTAAAAACTCTCAGTGATGGTCCCTGAACTCCCAAAGCTTAGAGCTTACTAAGCAGTATAGCATGGTCAACCACATCAAACGCCTTACACAAATCCAGGAAAACAGCCAAAACGGTTTTGCTCTCATTGAAATTTCTATAAACAAATCCGAACAATCATATAATAGCAGTCTGTGTGCTCTTACCGCCTATAAAACCATGCTGCTCACAAGTTTGGAAACCAATCGTATTCAAATGGGACAGTAGTCTACTTTTTAAAATTTATTCAACTATTTTGACAAAGACTGACAGCATAGATATTGGTCTATAGTTCTCCGGGAGAGTTTTTGAGCCTTTTTTATGCACTGGAGTTATTCTTCCTATTTTTAGGATATCGGGAAATTGACGCCCAATTTCATCTGCAGTTGTAAGCTTAAGGTACATTGAGGAATCTATTCCATAATCCAAGGTGACATTGGCGGCCCGCTTTCCCGCAAGCAACCTATCTACACTGAAGGTGAAGTGATCATTCAGAACATTAGAAATTACCCTAGGATCCACTGTATCTCCCTTACTGCTTACAATCTTAGAAATACGTTTATTTTCCATATAAATCGACAACTTTTTTGACATCGTTTGTGACTTCTTTCCGTAATTTGACAAAATGACACAAGTGTAATTCACTTCCACGAAAACACTTCGTCCTACTATACGCTTTATCTCTTTCTTTTATTTTATTCTTGACTGCTGTAGTGAACCATCCCTCACTTATATTTGTTGTTGTACGTCTTACAGATATATTCGTGACTTTACCAATCTCCGCTTGAAGAACGCCAAGCAAAATATCTATTTCAATGTTTTCGATTTGTCTAGAGTTCAACACAATTTCAACATTCTGCTTTAAGGCATCGTACTTTACTATTTTTGATTCATACGACTGCTTTGTTTGTTATCTTAGTCATTATATCTATTGTAAGTTTTATGTCTATCAATTTATGGTCAGAGACGAAATGATCAAACATATTAACATCAAAACTGTAGTGCTGTTTAAGTTTTAACTGGAATCAAACAGTAACACAATCTTTTCTGAGCATTTTGTTTTTTATTCACTCTATTATCTCTGTTACTAACGAAGATGCAGTATTTTAAACCGATGGCGTGTGAAAACAAGACGAGTGACAATAGTAGCTGAAGACTATTTTATTGTTCTAAGCAATTGTAGAACGACAGCTGTAGAAGCTCGGCGTCGTCGTCAAATGGTGCATTTTGTTGATGTCAGTGAGAAAACCATTCACTGAAAACTTACAAGAAGGCTGCCAAAGGACCGAGGTTGCTTCCAAGACACCGATGAGCGCGTTTTCAATCTGCGCGCTTACATGTGAATTGGGAGATCGAGCAATGGAGGAAAGTCCTTTTTACGGATGAGTACTGGTTTTGTCTAAACTCCCTAGATTTACAAAGTACCGCGGTTCATGAAGCCTGTTTTCGAGCCACAATGGTGGTTTGACAGCTTGTCACTGCATCTCACCACTTATTTACAAAAATATTGCCGTCTTATTGCCTTTGGAGTTGCAAAAATGGCAGTAAGAAGGACTTTCGACTCTTCAGAGTACCACGAGAAAAAAAGAAAGGAAATTTGGCGTAATGTTACCAATAGAACGACATAGTTTTAAATTTCCCGCTTGACTTTCGAGCCAAAATGGCGTCGAACCGCGGTACTTTGTAAATCTAGAGACTTTAGTTTTGTCTACTATCACCCGATGGTCGGGAGCGAATATGAAGATTTTGAAATGAAAGATTTGTGGACTATATAATTATGAAACGCGAATGTTTCGATGGTGGTTCTGTGATGGTGTGGCCGGGAATTTCCAAAGAAGTCTATACAGATTTTTAATATTTGCTAAAAGTGGCGCCTTAAATCACTGACATTGAAAACAAAAACTGGGCACTCGAAACAGTTTTGTAGCAAACCATTTACATTTTCTTAGAATTACAGAATTGCATACGTCCTTCATTATTGTAAACATCTGTTCTCAGTTCTGATATGCGGTAAAAACAGAAACGAATAAAAAACAAATTTAATTGAACGTAATAATTATTAATAACACGAAAATTAAGTGTGTGTGACGAGCCAAAATAACGTCATGTAGTCAACGCGGCATCGAACTGATAATTGATTCCTAAGGAATTGCGGCAAACTCTTCTTCAAGAGCAATTCGTAACTCCTGAAGACCGGGCTGCACACTGTCCACTCCATCCGTTCAATACCCACCTCATCAACATATTCTGGAGACAAAATCGGGACTCGTCAGTGAAGAGCATCTTACCCCATTGTTCCATTCCCCAATTCATATATACTCCCCCAAATTAAAGACGTGCTCGCCGACGTCTCTGGAGTAGCCACTGTCTTTCGGCAGGTCTTCTTGCAGTCAGATCACTTTGAGCAAGTCTTCGACGAATGGTTCTTTCACTTACGTCAACCCCACGCACCATTTGAAGACGATGCCGAGTTTCTACACCTGTCGTTCTACGATTCCCTCAACTGCTATTGTCACTCGTCTTCTACCGGAACCTTGCCACCTAGTGAAATTTCCTATTTCCACATATCGGTTCCAAGTATCCTGAACTGTTGTTCCGGGTATACCCAACGTATGGGCAACGTACCGCTGAAATTTGCCATCTTCAATTAATGTAACAATACGCGCAACATCAATTACTGACAACGGCATTGCTATTATTTTAAAAGACTGAAAATCTTTAACAACTGTCTATTTATTATTCGAAACAACTGACATACGCTACCTAGCGCATAGATTAAATATATAAATATACTAATATAGATGGTGGGTTCCTCACCTTAAAATGAAACGCTGTTTTTAGTTCAGACTACCCTCATTTAGCGCTAGTAGCGCGGTAGCATTCTACCCGGGAATTTGAAAAATATTTAGAATTAGGTTTTTGTTTTAAAACCATGCATGATAAAATTTTACAGAAACATATTCACTATAAGCAAAAGCTGTTAATTTTGTTTATAGAGAATTTGTTTCTGCAAAATTTCTACACACACAGTTTTAAAACAAAATGTTAAGTCAAAAACAATTTGACTTTTCAATGTCAAAATTTTATTGATTTTATACTTCCTATGATGACGTATTTGATACGTATGTGTGAGTATTTGTACGTATGTGTGCGTAAAGTGGCGGTAGTTTGAACTAAATTTATAGTTAACGCAAGCTCATACGGAATTAACACAGCATGACCTAGCGCGTCACCTTAGATTTTTTATGCTTATTTGTCTAGTTTTCACAGACGCTCGCTTTAAAACACTGCATTAGTAACAGAGATAATTGAGTGAATAAAAAAACAAAATGATCACCGTTTGATTCCAGTTAACACCCTCTGCTGTAGCAACTGCACCCCACAGGGTATTAGAAATTTCGACAAAAAGTTTTTCACATTCTTGCACTTCGTATTTGCTCAAATTAAAATCTGAATGAAAATTTATAACCGATTATTATTACCGAAGAATCAACCTTTCGATCAAAAAAAGAATCGTCAAAATCGAATGTCCGGAACTGAGAAGACCTACATCCAAACCGAAGTCAAAGTCACGGGCAGGAAGACTCAGGTCTATAGCCCTTTTCAACTCACTTTTATATTTGTTCTATATATATATGTATTTTTTTTTCTCATTTGTTATAGTTATTTTTTCATATAAGTCCAAATAAATATTGTTTTCTTCTTCTTCGAATGCCCGGTTCGCGAGAAACCCAGCTTTGAAGTTGTGGCTAATTTATAGTGGCCGGTTTTTTTTTGCCGGTCAGTTTACAATATGTTTACTCGACAGATCTTGATGTTCACCATTTTTTCTTCTTATTTTAAGGTTAGGTTAAGTCAAAAGTATTTTTTATATCCGTCCCAAAACTAAAAACTCGTTTTTAAGAATAAAATAAATGTTTTATAATTAATAATTTTTTTTATTATTTTATTCCACTAAATTATTCTAAATTATTATTATTATAGGTTATAAGCAATCTCTAAATGATTAAATAGGATCATTGTTTCGGGGATGGTGAGGACGGATTGAACAAAATTAATAAAAGTTATTAATTTTTTTTGTTATGTTAAAATTTTGCTATTCGGTTTGTAATTCGTAACACTGGAAGTTTAAGTCGTCGTAGAGATTCGAACCATTAATAATCTCCGCCTCGGTTAGGTTAAGACCCAGGGCGTTCGGGTTGAGATCGGTGATGAGGAAGTCACCTCCGCCAAGACCACACTCTTCGACGACCTCTTCTTTTGAAACTGGCGGACAGAGAAAATCTATAATTCCAATAAAAATTTCTCTGTTATCTAATATCTATCGTAACTCATCAAAAAAAAATTGCAAGGTTTTTAATTATCATTGGGGAAATATAACCGAAAAATAAATTTGACATTTACTCTAACCTCAAGTTTGAGATTTGTATAATATAAATAAAACCTACCTAATGATGCAACTTGACCGACATAAACAAGAAAGAGGAATCATCAAAAAACTTTCAATCTAACTAAAATAAATTAAAAGACTTACCTCCTAACCCGGTTGACATATCGATGATATATTCAACTTCTACGTTCTGCTTTTGATTGACGCCTTGTATTTGCGGCGTCCCAATTTCCATTTTTAATACGTTCGCGTGATTCTAAAATCAAAAAGTTTACAATAACTTCAAAAAATATCGAAATTTCATTACGTTAACATCTTCTCGACCATCCGCCGGCAAAATACTCGCTGTGGCAGCAGCCAATTCCATTTCCTGTTGTTTCTCTTTGTTCCAATCGTTTAAAGTCGTTTGAATAAATTGTTGCATTCGTTGTTTTTTCTGAAAATCGTATCTTATAACTTATTTAAAAGGAAAAAATAAAGAATTTTGCGTTTACAATGTTCCAGGTTTTCTTATCTTCTTTTTGAGCTATCGTCCACAAATGACCCGCTCCATGTATTGCTTTGCTTCCTTTACGAAAATGGGGATTTATCGACAAGTTATGTCTAACGGAATTTTTCCATCTGTCGTCGTTTTGTTTGTAAAATGGAAAGTGATCTCTGTGGAAAAATAAATATTCATTAATAACGAGATAACCTCAATATTTATATTTTAGTTAATTATACAGGGTCATCCATGACGACCGTCCATTAGAACTATACAAGGTTCTGGCCAAAATAAAAATTTGAAAATTCAAATTTAAGTATTATCAATTGCGTTCTCTTCGACTAAAATATTTTCAGATTACTAGCACTTCCGGTTTGGATTTGTCTGTTTTCAAGGTTTATGAATAACTTTACTTTTTGCAATTTGATTCGGTCGTTTTCGAGTTATTCGAATTTTTCTAGAAAATCTGCTCCAGCAGACATTTGTTCAAAAAATCAGAGAACACTCGATTTTTGGGATATCAATTTAGGATTCAGAACATGCTTAAGCAACATGATGGAGTATGTTTGGGTGCCGAGTAGGGGCTGTCTAGAACGTTTGGTCACATTACTACGGCACGTTAACTTTTCGAAATTTGGAAGTGCCACAACTTCTTTTTTTTTAAATGGCACCCCCATATTTTATTACTTACAAGGGAAGTATCAGAACTGTCCCTCACCGATTTTGTTGAAATTTTGTACAGCGATAGTATGGCCAAAAATAAGGTTTACGTATTTTTTTATACGTGCTAATAAAGCCCCAGGGGCGAGTTATAAGGGTTGGAAATCGGGGCGAAATACATATATTCGCTTATAGGTTGAAAACGAAAATAGCTATCGAAATGTGGTAAATGTAAACTGATATTCATTTTCAAAGAGCTTTCCATTGATATATCACACATATATCTAAGAGCTTCAGGGGGTAAACTACCCCTAGTTTTTTGGAATATTTTAAAAACTACCCTGTCGATTTTGGCGATATTATGTGTCCCTATAGTACATTTAAAAATATTAATGACGTGTTTTTTCTTATTTGCCTCTGACCATCCCCTGCAAAGTTACGGGGTGTGATAGTTAACCCCTTTCCTTAAGAATAATGTGATAAACTGTTACACTTTTGAATAATATTTTGAAGAAAACCATTAATTAAATGTAAATTAAGATTTACGCAGTAAAATGAACCCTATAGGACATTAAAGGGTGGCTGGGGTTAACTACCCTAAGCACCCCAAAAATTACTTTTTTTTGCGATAATTGTTTGTCGATTTTGGTGCAATTTACCACGATGATTTGTTTATACGTTAGGTAGTACTCTTGTAAGAACTTACAAGGGTTAGAAGTTTGGGGTAGAAAATATATTTTCGCTAATAACTTTCGTACTCCTACAGAAAAAGCTTTTTAATTAAATAACACAAAAGATTGGATAATTATATAAATATTTATTAATAATGAGTTAAAAAGTAACTGACAAAAGAATGGTTGACTATCACAAATTGAATTCTACATTATTAATTTAATTTCTTTATTTTTACTTTTTTTATTCAATATATTGTTGGCAATAATGAAAATCATGGAAAAAATGTTTTAAACACAACGATTGTTTACACCATGCACAAGTTATAACTGCTAAACTGCTAAAGTTATTAGCGAAAATATATTTTCTACCCCAAACTTCTAACCCTTGTAAGTTCTTACAATAGTGTACTACCTAATGTATAAAAAAATCATCGTGGTAAATTGCACCAAAATCGGCACACAATTTTCGCAAAAAAGAATAATTTTTGGGGTGGTTAGGGTAGTTAACCCCAGCCACCCCTTAATATCGTATAGAGTTTATTTTACTGCGTACATCTTAATTTACATCTAATTAATGGTTTTCTTCAAAATATTGTTCAAAAGTGTAACAGTTTATCACATTATTCTTAAGGAAAGGGGTTATCTATCATACCCCGTAACTTTGCAGGGGATGGTCAGAGGCAAATAAGAAAAAACACGTCATTAATATTTTTAAACGTACTATAAGGATACATAATATCGCCAAAATCGACAGGGTAGTTTTTAAAATATTCCAAAAAGCTATGGGTAGTTTACCCCCTGAAGCCCTCAGATATATGTGTGATATATCAATGGAAAGCTCTTTGAAAATGAATACCGGTTTACATTTACCACATTTCGATAGCTATTTTCGTTTTCAGCCTATAAGCGAATATATATATTTTGCCCCGATTTCCAACCCTTATAACTCGCCCCAGGGGCTTTATTAGCATGTATAAAAAAATACGTAAACCTTATTTTTGGCCATACGATCGCTGTACCAAATTTCAACAAAATCGGTGAGGGACAGTTCTGATACTTCCCTTGTTAGTCGTCTTCGGTGTCTCATTTTACATCTTTTATATCCCATATGTCCTATAACTAACATTTATAGTTTGGGAGATAATTAGGGTTTTTTGAAAAATGCACACATATATCGATATTTAACCTAGTGTGCCATGGAAAACAAACCTTTTCAATGAGTTCCTGTCAAAGACTCACTTGTTTACGTCACTTGATGCATGTAAGCTAATAATTATCTGTTAGGTCCCTTAATATTAGCACTAAAAAGAGTTAAAATCGATAACAATAACGAAAGTAATATTTACATAAATCAAGAAAGTCTTAATTTATTTTTTATACATGAAAAGCGCGACAAAGTTCGTAGTAGGATTTCCAAATCTTCCTTGGCAGCTCGAATTGAGGCGTTGGGACTGACCTCGAAATAAACCAAGGTATTCACCTCTTCCGGTGCATTAACTACTACATTTTTTGGTCAGTTTAAGACGTGATTATTCCATCATGTTGGTTAAGCATGTTCTGAATTCTCAATTGATATCCCAAAAATGGAGTGTTCTCTGATTTTTTGAGCAAATGTCTGCTGGAGCAGATTTTTCTAGAAAAATTCGAATAACTCAAGAACGGCCGAATCAAATTGCAAAAAGTAAAGTTATTCATAAACCTTGAAAACAGACAAATCCAAATATGTAAAAATATACAAGTGTTAAATTTAAAAAATAAAGTAGGTGGCGACTTCCTGTAAAACCAGAAGTGTTAGAAATCTGAAAATATTTTAGTCGAAGAGAACGCAATATTGATAATACTTAAATGTAAATTTTCAAATTTTTATTTTGGCCAGAACCCTGTATAGTTCTAATGGACGGTCGTCGTGGATGACCCTGTATAAGTTATATGAGAATATCATACAATTACCTCACAGGAAAAGTGAAAACCCGCTTAATAGTAACAAAAAATAATAGTATATTACAGTACAAGTGAGGAAACTAAGATTTTTCATTAATGCGTATGTCGGATTCCCACACGAGCTGAAGGCGAGTGTGTAAAGACATACAAGTTAGTGGAAAATATTAGTTTCCCACGTGTGCTGTATAGCGTTGTGTTCAATCCTGCTATTTAGAGAAAACCCGGTCTTAAAATTTGTTAATTCCTGGGTTAATTTCATGTCATCGACGACACCAGTTTTTGACATTGTCATACTCTTAATTGATATAAACTATAGACTACCTAAGTCTGACGTCACAGAGATAGGCGGAACTTATACCGACTCCAAAGAATTTCGTTGCTAACGACAGTTGCTAACGATAAATCGCCATAAAATTGTCGTTGGAAATGTTATTTAAAAAAAAGCTCCGCCCATCTCTGTGACGTCAAGACTTAGGTGACTTAGGTTGTCTACAGAGTGTTCCGTAACAAGAGCATTCACATCACCCATACAAAACAATTCATCACCTACGGGACATAACACTGATAAAGACTCCTCAAATTGGTTTAAAAAATCCGCGAATCTACCATTGTGTTCTATACAGGGTCCCGTTAATGGTACGGAGCGGCTGCATCTCGACAACGTTAAGGCCTAGAAGTTTGGGAAAAAAATCCTTATAGACAAAGTGGGCAAGAGAAATAGCTAGACATTATTTTGAAGGTCGTAATTCGACCGCTAGGGGCGTAACTGCCATAGAGAAACGTAAAATTCCCGCTATTTCAGAAAGTTACACGATGACCTATAATTTTGACAACACCATTTAATAGCTTGGAGAATACCGCATCGCTTTTGTTTAGCGAAAAATGAATGTTTAGCGTGAAATTGTTTCTCATATCTGTCATAATAAGAGAGGGGGAGGCCAATGCGTTTTCATATGTTTACATTTTAATATCTTCTAGACCATTCAACCGATTTGAATATTTTTTTTGAGCATTTTATGCTCTTTCAAAAGATATTTTCAGTAAGACCGTATGGTTTAAAACAAATAGGCTAGAGGACGTTATCTGCAGCGATTGCATATTTATGTGATTTTTGAAAGAAAATTATATGGAACAGTACTATTTACTTCACAGACCCTTAGTCACCTTAAAATTGGCTAAATATTACTGAAAACCACATCTCGATATCCGTTCACGAATTATAGAAGAAAATGTTAAAAACCCGAGTGTCAGCAATCGGATCCAGTTACCTCATCGAGAAAAACAAATCACATAACCATGGTAACTGTAAACATGTCATTTACTAACGCAGAAGCGTATGATAGAGCGTATGATGATTTATTTTCAATGTTTCGAATATAATGCAACTGCATGGCAAAAATGTGCAATGCAATTACGACAAAGAAAGATATTTTTCTCTAGCAATGTTTTTAAGATTGGCTTAGCGATTACGGGAAACTGGCAACGTGTAGCCCATTCAGACAGCTCTATGAATTCGTAAATCACATTGGTGGGCAATGCGATACCACATAATCTGGGAACCCCGAAAACAATTGTCCACAAGATTCCTCAAGGGAATAATAAGTATCTCCACCACATTGTTTTACATCAGGTTTAACAGATACCGATTATGATAACAGATTGAACTATTATCATTGACTTTTAAATATGATTCGGGCAAACCCAAACATTTTATCACAAATGCAATGTATGCATGAAGCATCTTGCTACAAGCTACACCAACATGCATAATATGCATTCTTGGTTCGAGCCAAACCCACATTGCTTTCACCCCGTTACCTATGGGGTAGACTAAACGACCTAACTTTTCAAGAGAAACCAAAAACCAGGGAAAATATGACAAAACACTAAATGCCATT